AGCTGGACATCGAGAGGAGAGTCGCGCTTGGCCAGGTCGACCGAGATAGCGCTGGCCAAAGCGGCGAACAGGGAGACACCGGCGGTGAACTTCATCTTGAAAGATAACTGCGAAGCTTGCGTCGACTTGATAGTGGCTGTAAAGTGAATGTCTTGCTTGAGCTGCTGTCTTACTGCTGATGATGATGATGTTTCTCATAACTCAGAAGGGGGAAGGCGAGCAGCCTCTTTATAGCCGGCGGGCTCACGAGTCCGGTGCTGTATTGGACGACGCCGAAGTCCATCGATTCCAATAAGAGGCATTCTTCTAGAACATTTCTCCCTATACGCATTCAGGAAGCTGTGAAATAGCGTTGCAGAGACATCTGTGGCTTAAAAATAAGAAAGCTACTGAAGGCCAGGCGCCAAGCCGATAAAATCCCACTCTCGGCGGCGATATGACCCATCGCGGCTACAATAACCCCCGTACGTAGTCGAAGCTACCCCGTGTCGGGTCGCCGGCATAAAACAAGCGAGGCCAAAGGCTGGGGGGGTAGGGGGTTAGGGGGATCGAATTCAGGCAAAGCGATTAGTCCATGTTGTGCCACTTAACCATGTCGTTGGTCAACAGAAAAAAAAGCAAAAAGCAGATCTGCTGCTGCTGCTGCTGCTGCTGCTGCTGCAGGAACGCGAACCAAGGGACATATCGCGATGAGCGATAACAATTGGTATTGCCATGTTCGGAAGGAGAGAAGAAACAACAATATGTAGCCCGGTGGCAGAGATGATAACATTCCTACCTCGCCTCGCTGGCGAAGATGGTTTCATGTGGCATGATGGACTCAAGGTGTTTACAAATTTGGGGCTATTAACATATTTCGTGATTGTAACCTCCCTTCCCAGTAGGTGGTTACCTAGGTATGGAAGATACCTGAGTAATGAGCTTTCGTAAAAGAAAAGGCGTGGTAACGACCTTGGAAGTTTGTCTCCATGGAGCATCCAGGATTTGAGGTTTCCATTCATATACCTAACGGCGCTCTCCGCGCCGTGGATATCTGATTAGTACATACAGTACCTACTGTGTAGTAAGTAGGTACTTGTATAGGTAGGTAAGGTAGGTAGGTACTGGGCACCTGGGCAGGTTATTTTATCCGGTGACCAAGATAAAGTTGCGAGGAAGGGATAAATGAGGTTCAGCGTCACGATCTCGCGTACAGTACGATCGAAACCCTGCAACATTTTCACTTAATCTGAAATCGAAAGCTCGCAGGGGTCTGGAGTCCCGGATATCTTGGCGCCTAATATCCTTATCAGCTTAGGACTTGTTGCCCTGATCATCGACGAGCTGGTTTGTAAATCAGGATCACTACCTACTAAGTATGGAGGCAAGTAAGCAAGTACACAGTAAATATTGAACTTGAATTAGTCGATGTGATGCAACTGACGAAACCCAAACCCTTCAACTGCCCACAGATCTCAGGTTTTCGGATCATAGGGTAGTTATTAGACCTTCCCGATCTCGTCAAGATTATCCGCATTATAGTTGGGTTATACCAATATGTCGGGTTGCCGCTTATAGTTGCCATCACGCCTTCGACCTTCTTGTTTGGCTATCGGGTTTCTTGGCTCAGCGCCTACACCTACCTACATAGTACCTACTTACCAAAGGTACCTAGCTTTTACCTACCTAGAAGTTAACTTTGACGATGCCAATTGTTGGGGAGCGCTGAAGGAGGGGGGGGGGGGGGGGGGGGGGGGGGGGGGGGGAGGGGCAAGTAATAATATATAAATCAAATTCCATGAGGTTCCGGAGCTGCATGGAAGGCAGTTGATATCCCGGTTCCCCTCAAATTCCCGTGTCTGCTTCGACTGGAGCCTCAAGCTTAATGCAACACCCGCCGATTATACCACCTACTTGTTTTGACTAGCTTCTCCGAAGCTCTTGTTGATGCGCAGGCAACTTTTGTCAGATCGGCTGAGCTGTCAAGATATCTCTACAAGCTCCCGTAACTCAGCTAGCTGTATTAGGTGCGCTGCTCGCAAGGACTAGCCATGAGCTTCTTTCTGCCTCGCTACCAGGCTCTCCCGCACTCTCGCAGATCATTATGGGTCTATCCGGTTATCTAGCACCTCCGATCGGCAGGTACACGAAAGCCTCGTCTTCCAGATCTACATTCAGCACTGCCACCATGATCGCCTAGCCTTCTAGGTTTTAATCAGATGCTACCGGTCATCTCCATGGGGACTTATAGAGAGCTTTTCGTTGGAATGGGAAGGTCGGGAAGTTGTGGATCAGTCGAGAAGCCGGATCATCCGCCCGGCCTAGTTCAATCGCCGCCTCTTCATGTTTGAATCACTCCCCCTTATCTCAGTGGTTATCGAAGGGTTGCGATCAACGGAGGCAAAGAAACAGCCTACTATGGCAGTTCGACGTCTAGGTACCATATCAGTGACACCTCCTAGAATTGGGTAACAGGTCAGTTAGAAATTGGTATTACCACGTTCCAAGGTCGCTAATCATATACGAACCTAATACTTATCCAAGACTCCTCGACTACTTGGGTAGATAGTGTATCATAAGACAAAATAGGAATTTGTACAGATCTAGGGCAAATGAGAGAGAAAGTCTCAAAGAGGGGACGCTACTCAACAGCTAGTGGTATAAACCAAAAGAAAACAGGTATGTTTGAGAAGAAGCGTTGAAGTCAAAAGGGGCTGGTTTCCTTTTATTATGTATATCGCCGCAGGATCCATGGATGTGTACCCTGACAGACTATTTACTTGGAGTTATCCAGCGGTCATCGTATCATCCACCAATTATAACCAAAGCACCTACTTAATACAACCCATAATCTATTTTTAGTATGATACCTTCCTTACTTCTGCTTTGCTTAGGTCCACGAGTATATTCTTTCAATTATGATTAGTTTTAGCAGGCATGGAAAGGACGAGGTTGCCTGCCACCTATATATGGGTACGTAGTGTCTAGCTGGCGCCTCGGGGGTGACGACCTCATATCTCTGTATACCTATGTCGGTCAATACCCGTCCGTACCTACCTACCTACTACCTACTTACCTAGCTGCTCAATGGCCATAGCCATACATGTTAAAACGAGCCAACTATGAGTGATAAGGTCGTAGGTGTACACTTACTCAGGCAAGCGAACATGGGACAGTTGATCTTTAAACATCTTCCCAAGAGCCAGTATGTCGGCACCATAGGTAGGTAACTTTCAAAAGTTAATATTTCGCACCCGTCTCAGGGGCAGTCTATCCATGTAGCAGGTTGGCTTGGCAACCCACCCGTCATCAACAGTTAACCTACTGTACAAGGGACCGATCAATCATCATCCTATTATGAACACTTGCACCACGTAAACGCATAGTTCATGTCTCATATCCAGCGACAAAAGGCATAAAAAGAAAAGAGCCCGAGGCGGTCATGCTACCTCCTCCCTTCCTGCTTGCTCTCCGCTTACACCCAGGCGGTAGGTGGCCTCATTACATGCCTATAACCTGCTTATGCTAGGCCTCATGTTGATGGTCCTCCGGTTTTTCGATAAATTTCGATAGTTGGTTTCGGAAGGCTAAGCGCGGAGCTTTTCTTAGCTCCCACCAGGTTTCCCGTACCTGCCCATCAGGGCGTCAACTTCCCTCTGTAATGCATCTAGATCTGCTAGGATTTCCGTACTTTGTTGGGTTGCAGGGGCTTGGGTAGAGGTCGAAATCTCTTGTTGCGTCTCATCGCTTACGCCTTTCGTGCCTTCCGCGTCAGAGGCAGGAGTTTCTGCACTTGCACGGCTACCACCACGTTGCCTCGGAGGAGGAGGCGGCGGCGGCGGCGCGTTCCCATCTTTTTCCTTGCTCACCTTTCTCGCTGTGCTGTGTCCGTTTCCAAGATCCACGCTTCTAACACTAGCGGGTCGTCTTGTGCTAGCCTGTCTGGCCGGTGGCGGTGGTGGTGGAGATAGTTTGGGGAGCCCGTCTTTACTTGTGGTGAAAGTGGCTAGACCTGTCGAACCCTCCGTCTGGCCACCACTACTTACGGGACGAATCCCCATTCCGACTGGGCTACGTTCGCTTTCACTAATACCCGGACTTGTTGCAGATAATGAGGTAAAGCTTCCCTGATTGGGGCTCGCATAGGAACTCCCCTGTCTGGCATGGTTCGGTCGGCGAGGAGGTGGAGGAGCAGGTATGCCAACATTGCTGGCTGGGGTAGTATTTGCTCGTAGACTATCCGTCCGTGACCGATTCGAGTCTAACGACGACCTTGGAGGGGTCTCGTCATCCACAGTTGTAGTATTGATGGAAGGTGCTCTACTATCACTTCTTCCATGTCGACGCGGTGGGGGGGCGACAGGTTTGCGGGCTTGTGTGCTGCCATTCGACCCAGACCGGCCCCGTGTAACAGCCGGAGGCGTTGGAGGGCGCGCGTTAGCTTGGAGGTTGGTGAAAGGTTCAGGCGCCTTGCCTATAGCTTCACGATCAAAAGGCGAATCAGTTGCTTCCTCCCCGGAAGGGCGAAAAGGGGCTTGCGGGAGTGGCTTGTTCACGTCAGTGGTTGAGGAATGAGCTGGCCCTGGAGCAACAGGGTAAATGCCAGATTTACGGGGTGGTGCTAAAGTAGAATGAGAAGGAGCACTGATAGGCATGGGAGGTGTTGGATTTCTAGAAGGACGAGAGTCCATGTCGGCGCCCAATTCAATCTTTATCAATTTACCATGTCGAGAGTTGGGAGGTGGTGGCTTTTTCTTTGTCGAGGTGGAGGGGAGAGGAGTGGCCAGGGGAGAAGAGGGGACAATCCCTCTTCGCTCTTCCGGATCATCCGTCTCAGAGATCTCGTGCGAAGTTCGCGGAGTCTCTTGCGATATGGCATCCATTATAGATTGGCGAGAAACAGAGCTTGCATCTGTATTGCTCGCACCATCATGTGGTAAAGCCTTAGCATTGCCCCCAGTACTCAATGCCGGTATAGATGATGGGCCCGAGATGTTCGCATAACCAGTCAATAGCAATCTCTTAAACGAATCAACATCAAGAGCCCCCTTTGCCGTCGTACTAGTTGCAAATGTATTGGCATCCTGTCCCTGGCCTGTCTGTTCTAGGACATGCACCGTTTTTGAGAATGGATTCGCCGACGGTGCTAATCTAGGTTGAGTATGATCGGAGATATTGCTGTCTCTACTGTTGGTGGGGGACGGGCCTACTCCGGGAGGACCAGCATGTTGCCTATATTCTCGTGAGTCACTATTATATTCATCTCCGTATTCATCATCATCGTCTTCATCATCGTCATCCACATCATCGTCGTCGTCGCTATCGCTATCGCTATCGCTGTCGTTCACGGTCGGGAAGCGGGGTATCGGCACAGCATCCTCTGGCGAAGATGGAGGTGGTGATTGAACACGAACTTTCTTCACAACCTTCTTCGGCCTCGGCTGCTCTGGTACTGTTCCACCAGTATTCGTAGTGGTCTCCCTCCCTATATCGTGCTTCTCATCTTCCTGTCGCCTGTCGTCTTCAGATGAGGCGGACCTGAATGTGGTGGGTGGAGGCCGAGGGATAGAATCAAGAGATCCGTCGAATATCGAAGCGGTAGTTGGAGCGGGGCTGTGAGCAGGACTGTGACCATGGCTGGAGAAATTACCCAGCTTTCGACGAAAGGGGTTGTTAGAACTGAAGGAGGGGTCTTTGGTAGACATGATTGCAGTATATAGCCAAACAAGGCGCAATTAGGCGCAGGTAGTGCAAGTGTGAATGGAAAACCATATGGTGCTCGCCATAGTATATGAGCCAGCAAGCCCAGGTCAGATTGACGTTTGTTTCGGCGATGCAATATCGTGTGCCGTGTGTCGATCCCCCTCCAGACTACGACATACAATATTAGGACAATATTGTACTAGGTAGGCAGAAAACGATTTGAAGTATGGCTGGCTGGTGAGGTATGTACTATGTATTCAAGGTTATTATTGTATCAATTCACTGTTCAATGTTCAATGTTGTCTGTAAAAGTCAGCATGCCATTGCTTAGGCGATGTGCAATGTGCAATGTGCAATGTGCCTGTCTTTAGGTGGGATTTCGGAAGTTTCGGTAGAGAATTGTCGGGTTCAAGTGGTTCAAGTGGTTCAAATTGTTTAGTTAGTGGTCGACAAATGGTCCAAGGATCAATGATTGATTAATAGGGGAGCGATAAACGCGGAGATCGCGGTACCTGGAACCCCGTCCTCTAACCTAGGGTTGTAGAACATTGAACTTACCTTTACCTAGGTACTTATTAACTTTACTTCAATGCTCTACATTGAGTCTTTACTTCGTACATGTAACTGAATCACAATTCTTTATTATCACACTAGAAAAATCAATTAGAACATGAAAAGCCAACCTAGGTACCTATAATGATTGTCCAATAACGCATAGCACCCAAACAAGTCAGCTAATGAGGTTGTTATATTAGTATGTATGTAGAAAAGAAGATCCACTTTGAGGGTCATATTTCAATATATTATGTAGGTATGTAACCATTCGGTCTTTGGAATGGGCAAGGCAGTAAAGGCACACATGCGGTTGATACCTATTAGTAGGCAACATTCAATGGTGGTTCTATCTAAGTTCTAACAGCATGGGCCAACGGCTTTTACCGTTAGTGCTACCAGCTATCATCAATGTACTAAGTTGAAGTATCTACATACGTATAATTGTACTCAGTACTTACAGAGTACACGAACATACCTACCATTGATATGTGTATGTAAGTCATCATCCATCCATATTATGTAAGAGCGGATAACTCTACCTTTCAACAACGTATAGGCCCGCCAATCTTAACGGCTTGATTAACTCGAAACTCTATAACCATATACGGAAATTGGTGGAGATGACTTACCCATCTCATCTCTATGCCGGTAGTAGGTTATACTATCTAGAGTAGGTAGGTATGTACCTGAACTCGTGTTACAAGCAACATTGAATTGCTAAGATTTATCAAAGTGAAGGAAATCATCACATCCATATCATACTCTTGTCATACACATTTCCACCTCTAAATGAAGTACATATCCAACTTTAGAATTACACACATGTGCGTGCGTGCCTGTCTATCTATCGTACAGCACAGCTTATCTTATGTAGTCCCTCATTTCACACAGTTCAACCAAATTTTCAACTCGTTAGGTACCATGTAATAATTATATCAATTTATCAGAGAGAAGAGGATACAAGGTAACTACTGCAGATATCTACCTACCTAGTACTACTATGTAGGTATCATTCGATAGTACATGAACAGTACAAAAGCGGCAGTAAAAGTGGATGTATCAGCACTGAATGCATAAAGACCCACTTATATCGAATGCATGCTATAAATGTCATTGTACTCCTCGGCACGTGATAACCATTATCGACACCAGGAGTAGCTCCGCTGCAATTCTTGCAAGGGTCCATGTAAACAATACTGCTCCAGTCATGACAAGAAAACGCGTCAACTGGGATGGTCGCGTTTTGTAAGATGACCACAGTGCTAAGGGTGTCGAAAATTTGATTGAAACCACGCAGAGAAGTCTCTACTCCTTGGTATAATTACAAGTGTACTCATCATGTCGTCAGTTCCAAACCTTCCCTAACAAATGCCATGACTGGGAATATGTGCAATCCAACCGAAACAATCATGACTTGGCGCGGGCTGCACGAATGCACATAGCGGCTGGCGTCATCGAGGAGGAATATTGGATACAATCGCAATGCTTCGAGAACCTTCTTCACCCCATTTCACCCTAATTCCTACCGACCCTACCAAAGCATGACCTATTCCGCTGAGCAATAGACGCGACGCAAATGCGCGCAACGCTTTGTACCTAGTTTCCTGAACGCCAGTGAACCCGCCAAGCTCCAACACACAAGTTAAAGAACACAAATTAACAAACAATCGCTCATGCCGCGGCTTCAGCTTTTGCTTCCTTCTTAGGTGCCTTCTCCTTCTTTGGTGCAGCAGCCTTCTTCGGCGCGGCCTTCTTTGCTGCTGGCTTAGCTGCTGCTGTCTTTGCAACTCGTCCTGACTTGGTCTTCGTTAAAGCAGCAGGCTTTTCCTCTGTGGCAGAGGCAGTGGCAGCCGGAGCCTAAGTACATTAGCAGGTGCTGTGACAAGTGCTGTGACAACTCATATGAACCATGTTACTTACATCCTTCTTTGTCGCTGTCTTCTTTGCGGCTGGGGCTTTCTTGGGAGCAGCAGCCTTCTTTGTAGCAGGCTTCTTCTCAGTGCCTTCCTTCTTCGGAGCAGCTGCCTTCTTGGGTGCGGCAGTCTTCTTAGTGGCGTCCTTCTTGGGTGCAGCCTTCTTGGGGGCCTCCTTGTCACCCTCCTTCTTCGCAGCAGGCTTAGCAGCAGCGGGCTTGGACTTCTTGGATAGCTTGGTGCCACCGGAAGGTCCTAATAAATGTCAGAAATCAGGCAGCTAGGCTTCCAGCAAGGACGATAGCCTCGCATGACGATGCAACATACCCTTGGGTTGCTCGAAGATTCCCTTATCGACACCACCCTTCAGGGCCTTGTTGAACAAAGAGTCGAACATTTTGTCCGTCACATTAATAGTGTTGTTCGCTCTCACATATTTCTTCAATTGCTGACGGCTGCATGGGAGTTAGCCCAGGTTTAATCTAAATGAAAGCGTCGGCAAACGTGTGCGTTGGGGAATAAATACCTTGAACCATTTCTTTCCTTGAGCTGTGATTGAAAACACGTGTCAGCAGTGCAATACGAATAAATTTGCATAACGTGGCCCATGTAGCGTTGAGGTGCAATGCCAGTAGTGAACCACGACAGCCATGGTGCATGCAGCCCAACCCACGAATGCCAGTAAGACGCGTTCAATGCGCCGGAAGAAAAGGAATGGGGTAAAATACATGAACAATGGCATCAGTAATCATGTCCTATAACATGTTAGTACTCGAGATGGTTCAAAAAAGGCCGGCAAAGCCATAGGTGTGTACATACCTGGTAGGTAGCATGAGTGCTCTTGGACTTGGGAGCAGCGGGAGCTCCATCTGCCTTCTTGGGACCCATTTTGAATAAGTAGGTGAAAAGTTGAGGAATGGTGTGCAGTGAGTATTGAGACGGAGAATTATATTGATCAATTGATCTTTGATGGAAATTGAATAAGCTTTTGAGGTATGTAAGTATATGTGTGTCGTGTGGAAAGAAGAGCGTCAAGAAGAAAGGGGAGGAAGAGAGGTATTCGGTCGGGGCGCGACGGCGAGAAAGGTGAGTTTGTTTATATACTTAAGTGGGGGGTAGTGTACAATCAGTAAACTGCTAGGAATCAGCTGCGGAAAGAGGGCCCCTCCCCCTCCAAAAAAAAAAAAGAGGTCCTCTTAGATGCCCATCATTAAAATCCTTTAGTTAATCCATAGCACTAAAACAAGACTAGGTAGGTGTACCATAATAAAACTAGGTACATAATAATAAAATAATAATAAAATGCCGGGAGTCACGTCACACACGCACACGCACACGCACAAACGCTTCTTCTACCCATAGATACATACATTTCTGGACCCGATCGCACTCTCCCTACCGCGTTCATAACCTGGCTGCTCATACCTTGGAAGCATTTAGAGTTGCATTATCTGACTGAAACGCCTAGTTTGTTTCCCAGTTAGGATTAGGTTTTATTTTGTGCATCTAATGGACCCCCTACGTACATAGCATTACAGAAGCCAGTCAGATGATTTCGGAAAGACTGATTCGTTTTTGGATCTGGACCTCTGCAGCAGTTGCAGCTTGCTCTGAGAGACTGGGACCGCCCAGAAGATTTCCCCAGCTACGATAAAGCTGATCTGTAGTATCGAATTTTTTGATTGGCTGAAGCTTGACTGCAGCTCTTTTTTTTATTTTTTATTTTCTTAATTGTCGACTTTCTCAACTCAACTCGATCAAATCATGCGCCAACTTGAGAACTCGATTCTCTCACCCAACGCCCACCCTTCCCCCCTCCTCGTCCACCCTTCTCGTTCCTCTCTTCTCTCGTTTTCTTTCATCTTGCCTCCCACACCATTCCGATCAGTCGATCGATTGAGTCATTTTCTATTTCTATACTAGATCCCGTTTTAGAAAATTAAAAAAAGAAGTGATTAGTGTAATGTCAACTGTATAAACCATCTATCCACATTCCAGGGGAAACTTGGGAAGCTCATTTGTTTTTGGCCTCTTGTATGTTGAATACTCTCGGTCGCATTCAGCATGCTAGCTTTGCATCCCATGCATCACCTTGAATTATCTGTTTCAAATGATTCTCGTGTTTTTCGGCTATCTTTCGATCTGTACAATTTAGCGTATTAGCTTTGTTGCGATCCCTGGATGTGTGTTTTAACTTAAGGACTCTTGTTTTCCCCTAAAGCTTTTGCACCTTGCCACAACATGAAGCTATCTACATGATTTGCACCACCTCGACTTTTCAACTCACCACATATATTCCGGTTGTCCAATCGATCTCGAGGCTCATCTATTTCATTGCAGGACGGTATTAGCGATTTTGGCAATTTTTTATTTCGCTCTAATCTATTAATTTGAAGCTTTCCGGTGTGATGAATCTCGATTGGGGCTGGGTCTGGTTGAGGTCGCGTCTGGGACTGCAACCTGTCGCGCCATATATCTCAACAACCACAACTCAACGTTAAATCCATACTCTCAAATCAGTTTCAGAAAACAATCGGTCACCATACAACGATTTCTGGACTTGTCGAGCTTCCTATTCAGCAACTACGACTCTGCCTCTCGATGTTTGTGCTTGTCGCGGTGCGGGTTGTGATAATCTCAGTCTACTAGACACCGCTAGCAAGCTCCCTCACAACATTATTGCAATGCCTCTTGTATGACAGTTCTTTTATTTATTTATTCCGCACTACGAAATTTCAGCCAGATTCCAACTGCAGGATGAACTTACCAGCCATTCCGGCCTCATGGCCTAACACTCCATGTGCCAGGTTGCGTTGCGAGTCCTATGTGGGGTTATGATTCGCGGTCATGATGTCCACGTCATCCATGATCTGCCAGCACTTTTCAAACACCCAGCATGACCACGACGCCTTCTTGGTTAACAGATGATTATTATTATCGTCGCAAATGCCTATCAATTCCAACCGCCTGCTACGAAAGATACAGGGTTCGTGCGTTCTGATAGAGTTATTTGGCGTTGCAATCAGACTGCTTCATAGACACGGCATCCCCTTATCGAGAGCAGAGCCGATTATTTGGAGGGCATTAAAACAATGGGCTGAAACAGCATGCCTAAGGCCATCACATAGCTATTTCGCTCTATGTCTAATGCACTAGAATTGATAGATTACAGAGAAGGTTAATGCCTTTGTGTCAATAGCTATCGTAAAATGATAGTAAGACACGAAAACCTCCGCAATTGATATCCCAACATATCACGCTTCTCTCGTTTGACTAGGGAGCACAGTTCGGTTCGCTGCTTACTCGCTTTTGAATTGCACCAAGGACAACATCACAGGGCAAATGAACAGCACTACGGTCAACCACCAACCATGTATAGGCATAGCCCTGTCACATAGAAAGGATTACGATGTCCGAGAGACAGCTCTATCACAATGGTCATCAATCGATGAAAGCACCATCGCTGAAAACACCAGCATATTTGACTGGTATCTCTCAAGGATCCTCTTGATGGTTTTTGAATTCACATCCAGCGGACTGACTTGGGGTTAATTCCAGTGTTTGCCTTACTAATATGTTCCCCAGTGCCCCCTTTGTCCGAGAATGAGCAAAGAGACAGCCAACAGGTCATTTTGCCGTTACACCTAGTTGCAATACATATATCAGCAAGACTATGGACTATCTGGTCATCACGAGGAGTCTTACGTTCGGCATCACAATTGAATGGCAGGGTTCTACTTATATTGCAGTCCCGTATCTAGGCAGTATTTGAAGTGAAGGCGTTCATACCTCACTTTGGCTAGGTATATCAGGCCTTCATGCAACAGCTAACTAACTTTACTTTGCCAGGTACGCTTCACGGCGTGTTGTCTTCATATGTCTGAAGCCTACGTCCAGTGGGCGAGCTTCAGCAAGGCCGCAACAATCATCACTCAAGCGGGTGACCGGGGTTTTTCCTATTACAGTCGCCTTGTCTTGGCTTAGGGCTCTCTAGCCTATAAGGTGTTATATCTTATATTTTCGTCTTCTAGCACTTCCGTGACTGCCTAAGTAGATATTCTCAATCAGATTTTATGCCGACCCTTGGCGGCTCCAGTGAGTTTCCAAAACACAGTGCTTCCAATATTCGTGAACAGGATATTCGAAGAGACGGGCGCCAGGTTAAAGATATCGTATTTCTCGTCACGAACATCAGGCCCATTCTTCGACTGCAGGGATATTTGAGGCCAACGGAGAAATTCAGCTCGATTTTATTCGGTTCTATTACAACCCGAAGTCTTGGAAGATATAACAACTATTGTGACCCACATTGGTCGAAAGGGGTTGTGACTTGCTTCAAATGATGTCACTCTTCCCAGTCAGTTATACCGATCAATTGGTAAATTACTGAGGTATTTTGTATTTTGGAATACATTATGGACTTTCTTGATCTGGATTTTTCAAAACCCTTGCTTGAGTCCTTTCGCGAAGATTAGCAAACTCCACGAAATGGAATAGGATATATCGCAAACCCCGCTCGTCACCTCCCTATGCTTCTCGAAATGTAATTCAGAGAGACGCAAAAAAGGCAGGGAAAGCAGAAGAAGAAAAGAAGCATTCGAATGCGACAAGACGGTGAGAAGAGTAGAAGAGGCCAACATTTTCCATGTATCATACAACATCTACTTCTACAAGCCAAAGATGAGACCACAATGTCGCCACGATCCATTGAAGCTAACGCGCAATCTACAACCCCTGCGACGCCCTCTGCAACGCCCTCTGCGACTCATTTCGCATCTGACGACAAAAAATGGCATTCGAGCTTTAGTAACGCCGAGATTTCGGCCAGTACTCGCCCCAACACACGGTTGAACCGCCGTTTAGTCTCGTATGATGAGATTCCCGACTGGTACCAAGATAATCCGTACATTCGGCACGGCTACAGACCCGTCTTGCAATCCGCACGAGCTTGTTTCAGTAGTTGGTCGTACGTACACAACGAGACGCTCAATATATATACACATCTAGTACCAGCAGCAGTGCTACTTGTCATCGGCCTTTCTTACGTACTCATCCGTCTAAGTGGCCGCAGCAGCGACGACATTGGTGTCGCTGTAGCTCTTCTAGTTTGCGCAGTAGGCTGCCTTAGCTTTTCGAGCCTATACCACACGCTCATGTGCCACTCTCGCTCAATCGAGGCATTTTGGTTGCGCCTTGACTTCATCGGCATCATTCTGTTAATATTAGGATCCTTCATCTCAGGAATCTACGTCGGTTTCTGGTGCGAGACACTGCAGAGGAGAATATATTTTTCAATGGCAAGTAGTTACTTTATTCCCCTCCCATAAAGTACTTTCCCAACGGAGCCGAAACCCAGTGAAATCGGACATGCTGCTGGACATTGGTTTAGGTGCCTCTGTTTGAAATTGATAGTGAGCTAACTGTTTACCTCGGTGCGTCTTGTAGATGGGATCTCTCGCGGCAATTTCCATCGTCGTCGTGCTGGCGCCATGTTTCCAAGGTCCACGATGGCGTACGCTGCGCCTGTTGACTTTTGTATTCACTGGGCTTTCCGGCTTGATTCCAATAATTCACGGCATCGTTATGTTTGGTTTCATGCAGATGGCAAAGCAATCCGGTTTATTTTATTTTCTGGCTGAAGGAGGGCTATTCTTGATAGGAGCAGTTGTGTACGCTGTAAGTTGGTAGTCGCCTATTTTTTTATTACAGTAACAATTACAACTACTAAGCATCATGAAACCTACTCCCTATTTATCTCAAGAGATGAAGAAAGGGGAAGTGAGGTTCTGAGTTACTAACAACAATTTGCACAGACAAGATTCCCCGAGAGTATCAGACCTGGAACATTTGATATATACGGCTCCTCGCACCAGATCTTCCATGTGTTGGTTGTCTTTGCTACAGTGATTCATCTAATAGGTGTTCTTGATGCGCTCGACTACAATTATTACAATCGACAATGCCCGGGATGATTTCTCGCGCCGGCATTGCGCTCAGCAGGTATCTATCAAAGCTACTTCGCAGGAGCAATGCTGTATCCTCACTCATCCGTACTGCCTCAATCATCAAGCTGATCTCCTCGAATGCTTCTTCGAACTGTACCCAAAGGCTGTATGTGCTGCTTTAGTCTTCTCCTAGGTTACTACTGACTCATTTCTAAAGCACAGCCACCCTCAAGGTTCGCTTCTCCCAGTGCTCTTTAGTCAGCTACTTGATAGCCCGGTTAACATCTGAAACCTTTAGGTACCTAGCTTGCAGATTAGATGGCCTGTACATAGACGATTGTGGGTTGCCCGTGTAGGAACCTCTTAATACGACGTCCACTCGAACTCATTGCTCTGGAGCCATTCCCTGTCTTGATATCCTCTCACGACTACCCCTCAGTCTCACTGCTCTCGAACGCTTCAGACTCGTCTAGATGCCACTAATGCGGCCGAGAAGGGATATTCTCTCAGATGTACACAGAGGTGCTGCCTGACTTGGGCCTCTACTACCGCACGATCCTGAACGAGTGGGAGCTCACTTATGTAGTGTCTATTCTCGAACAAGCCTGTGGACTACTAGTCATAACGATGGCTCCAGTGCGATAGCTTTAGATAAGTGAAACATTTAGATCTCAGTCTTAACTGTTAGACCTTGTTTGGTAGGCAACTTAGTATGTCAGCAAAGGAGAGTTAGGTAATACTCAGACCCATCTCTTTATGTGCTATCCTCTAATACTACTTCATGTTCCGCCCTCCTTTTCCTGTGACGAGTGGCGAACGTACCTCGTAAGAGCCCAGATGAGGAGATGGAGGCCAGAATTTGTCAGGAAACAGAACCTATGGGGGGGGAAGTCAAGTGTGGGGTTAAAGCTACTAGATACCTACTAGGTAGGTAGTCAATAATTTCTCTGAAGTCGCTATTGCTAGAGATATAGAATCAGGGGTTTGAATAGGGGTGCCGATGCCTATCTAGTACCTTCTCTTCCATCGCAGGAGACCCCCACTCGCGAGAATCATTCTAAACTTCATCGAATGAATCCATGCCTCCCAATGATAGAAATCGGGAGAAATCATTCCAAGTTAGAGAATTACGCTACTTATTACCTCAGTATGAATCCATGGATGTGAAACGAGCAAGGCCATGCTTATATACACGTATAAGAGACTAAGCGGGAGTCTCGGTGTCATACTTCAAAGCATTTCTGCTAGTACCTCTTTCAGTATCCATATTAACTGCCTAGATAGCTAGAGCATGTAACCAAATACTTGTTAGGCAGATTGGCGTTGAGATGGCATGGGAAGGTTTACTTATCTGCGCAGGTAGTTGGTTCTAATCCGAACTCTCCGACTCTATGCTCTGTGTTCATTTTCTAAGTATACTAATTGAATCCCTAGGTAAATACCTTTCAAGAGTGTCACGATAGTTATCCTCTGTGAAATGAAAATTCGCATGTCCAAGGTTCATAATCATCAGACTTTGATAGACGATCCTCGTGATATTTTCTATCTAGGGCTACGTTCTTGTCTAGGAGGTTGGGTCATAAAACTTGTAAGGGAGAACACAGCTCGTGTTACCATTTCTCGAATACCAAACCTAGTATGTGACTTGCTTTAAAGTCCCTGAGATTCATCTACAGCTTAATTTTTGACTGGCGAAAACCATAGACAGCACATGGTGATATTGTGAAATATTCTACGCGAAGTCAGAAACTTGAATTGATAGTCAAATGCCCGTCAAAGTCATAAGGCAGGTTAGTAAAACATTATAAAGAGATACTACAATAGTACTATCCTGTCAGACTTGCCCGAGGCAGAAGCATGGCTCTTCACACCCAGACACTTAAGTTAGACACTTAGATGTAGACTTGAAAGATCCTACTGATGAAAAACTGCTATAATTACGTGGTGATCTAGTATGTAAGGTAGCTATATAGATATAGGGGTACAACTGCTATCTCTCCTACCTGTCATAAGTCTGAATATGACAGTGTAAGCTTTCTATTACAGAGTTGCCTGAGTTCCAAAAGTCTAGATTACTGAGTAGGTACCTAGTAGGTAGCCCATCCATCCAAGGATATGTTATGGATTAGGAGATCGCTCAGCGTCCGCTTCCTCCCTTCAGATTCGAGATTATTTTTATGCCATCCTACACTAAACTCCCCAACATATTACGTCTAAGAACGTTATGGAACACTCGTTATTGTTACTGCTGCCTACTCGATATCTCACTATCTGAGCGCCTACTTAGGTTACCCAGTTCATATCCAAGTATTTAAGATGTATCCTCAACAACATTACAGTGTGAATCATCGCCGCGTTCATGAACTGGCGCAGCAGATAAGTTTCAAGGTTGTTTACTTGCTTCGGCGGCCAAATGCGGGTTACGGGTGCTCGCTTGTTGAGAGTGGTCCCTACCGAGACATTCTTTAATCCGGAGCAGAATACGTGTGGCCACAAAATCATTTCATGAAGAGAGCAACTCATCTTGTCAGGGGGGAGACAGAAAGAGTGAGTGTAAGACGCTTAGGTAGGCAAGACAGGCATCAAGGTAGAGTAAGATCACGCAACGAATTCTACCTACTTACCAATGTGAGTAAAAATCGAACCCGAGACCCTTGAGCAGGTTTCCAAGTTTCCAAAAATTCCCATCCTAAAGTCCCCAATGTCCAAAAATGTCCAAAAATTCCCATCTACGTGCATGCCATGCGTATGCCCTGCACCCCGCGCCTCCGCTGCGATGGTAGATGTTAGTGTACCAGATTCGCCTCAGATCCTATCTATCATATTATGTGAAAAGAAAAAAAGTCATATTACTGATTATATAGGTCCATAGCTTGTCGGCAACCATGTAAGCGATCTAGTACGCCGTTTTTTTTTTTGGGGGGGGGAGAGAGAAATAGTCCAGAAGTTGCTAGGTGCGTAGGCACCTATATTATGGCACGGCACGAAATAAAGCCTCCCGTATCTCCTTCAGACTGGTACACTAACGATTATGATCTTGGCAGTGGCAAACGAACCTTGGAAGTAATGTCCATGATTGAAGAACCACCGGTATTATATTATCTATTCCTGCTAGGCACTAGGTAGGTACCTAGTCAATAAATCTGAAATTACGCGACACAAAGGTCACTTCGCCGTTTTGGGGGAAAGGCATTTCCTTCTCTTCTTTCCTGTTCGGAATGGACTCAGACCTCCTTCGCTACTTGCACTATCGATGCGCGGCGCTACGGCGCAACACAATAGAAGCTCTTCGAATGTCCTGGGAGGCACATGGGTGATGGTATCGCAACGCTCGCCACCCATAGTCGTAGCAACGTTCTGTTGTTTCGTCGCCGCATACTTACATAGGTAGGTAAGCCTCAATTAACGACGGAGATAACGATGGGGAGCTCTTATTCCAAATCCAACCATGGAAATAACGGCACACCTAAGCATATGTACTGCCTTATAGGTAGTTATTTACATATGTACCTCATATGGCGATGTACCAACGTCGTCATGCCTGAAAGATATGATTCTCTTATTTCTCTCTCCGCGGAGACCTAGGCCTTACAGATGGCCTCTACAGGTATCAGGCGTTGCTAGCACGGCGGCGCAGAGAGAGGCCGCTTTCACGGAGGACTGTCCGACACCACGATATGAATCAAGGGAAGCACGTACGGCGTTTTTAGGCAGTCGTGTAGATCCGCGCAATGTTTTTTTTTTCCTTTTGCTCCGTTTACTGCGCGGCGCATAAAGAGTATTATATTGTATGATTACGTTCTACGTGTGCCATTATCGCAGGAAAGAAACAACCAAACTACCTAAACAACCAACTACCTAAGGTATCTAACAGATTCTAACTATGGAGATCTGGCAAATGCCTATCTGAATACCTACATACCTGCTTACCTCCCCATGGGAACTCCCGTCTGGATGGTTATTTAGGCCATATTCTTAATGTGCCTTCATTGCTATAAACATCTTACCGGTTTTATTTTTGGCGGGACGGGGGGATATGGAGAACAAAGAACGAACGATGGTTGCTGCTTGCGGCTACTCTATCGACCCGCCGATGTGAAGATCCACCCCACATCATGTAGGCGGGCATATAGGTTAAGAGGTTAAATCACCTAGTATGCTGGATGGGAAGCGACTAACGGCAGAGCTAAGACGGCAAACTATTGACGGCGATTGTTTATTTCCTAGTGTAGTGATATCCCCGAGGAGAGAAACGGGGCCAAGAGTCGAGAGGGGATTACTAATTATAGTGTTGCTTGTACCCATAGGACGGTGGCGAGATTAGGGATACGGCGCGGTTCATACCAAAAAATCCCCATGTGCCGACAGATTCTCAGGGCACGAAACTGGCCTATCTTGTCCCTAGTATGCCTTCCCAACCGCGGTTCCCTCCCGGACCCAGTGCCCTAGATCTGGATACCGAAGTAGATGGCTTGATGCAACGGGAATCCTATCTAAGGGGGCGGACCGAGGGCATGAAGTGGTAGACTGGGACCTATAGTTCTAAGGAAAGCCCCGGAAGACTTTCTTTCCGCTGTGGCTATATTGGCATGTACCGTAGCCTTGCTTTAGTGCCCTGAGCCTAGATAGAGTCTATTCAACCAAGGCGGTGAAAATTCGAAGGGGGGGAGGGGGAAGCGATGGTTTACAAAGAGAGAAAGAGAGGGAGTAGTAGAGGGAGAGGGGATACAGAAGGCCAGAGAGGCAGAAAAACAGAGAGGCAGATGAAGAAACCTTGCTGTATGGAATGTGTGTATGCGGCGAGGTCAAGAAAATCTCCGCCATTGGCTAATGCCGGTGTGCCTAACAATATTTTGGGGCTCAATCAACCGGGACCAGGCATCCGCATGACCCATGTCGACGATGGATGATGCTTAAAGGGCTTGGTATACTCCTCTGACTCCTTTGCATATGTTGACACATCCTATCGAGGACAAGCGTATGGAGAAAACTAATTCTGAATTATCCTTTGATATACATAGCTACCTACTTAGTTGGCTTTGTTGGAGTTCTCTCGGCTCCTTCATCGGTCTGCGAGCAATTATAGAAGTTTGGCAAGATGTTTTTGACCTAGGTAAGTATCATAAGTACATACCTACCTAGGTAGGTAGTAGTAAGTAAATACCTTTTTGAATAGATGTTTCCTGATCTACCATAGGTGATCTTCGGTTCACGGCGAGGTTTGGCATTTGGTAATGCTTGTGCCATGACATGCCATGCCATATTCTGTTCCACTTTGCTAACCTAATAATATCCATGATAGCTACCAGGCAGCCAACAGAAGATTCTGATGCGCATCAAATCATTGTCACATGTGTGTATCTCACGTAATATGGATGACTACTATAGGTTAGGTACCTACATAGTACAGTGGCCTACATAGATCTTGTCACAAACCGTCAACCCCCCTCTCCATCTCCCATCTCTCATCCTATCCCCTGTGATATACGACCTGAGATCGATAGACGACATGCGACACGTGTATACCTGGTACAGCATAGTACAGCACATGATATGACATGACATGACATATGACCTGACTTGTACAGATATCTGAAAATGGCCAGCTACCTAGTAGTTATGTGCCGCTGAATAACATTGACTTGTTCCAATTATCGTTATTTTGGTCCTTGTATGTTGAAATGGTGTGGGCCCTGGGGAAAAGGTAACTAAGGTAAGTACTTTATCTAACCTAGGTAGTTATTTAGTTACATCCTTGCAATAGTTATAATATAAATAAATAAATATAAAATAAGGTTGCCGGCCCTTGATTGGTCACACACCAGAGACTTCCCCGGCAAGCATTACCCAAGGTCCCAAGCCCGTTTTGCCATTTTTTGCCAGGGTCAATTTCACACGCATTGCCGCTCTCAAGTCACACAAAAGATCAAAGATCAACGTCATTTGCTGTCGATCGACAGCGCTAGGCTTAAACATCAAAATTTAGAGTTAGGGGGGGTTGTTCGTTGGACAAACCACTTGCAGTGGGCAGCAACAACCAACTGCTCCCCGTCCGAGCCAGATGCTTGAAGTTTCAGAGTCGTCGAATGAAGAATGAAAGATAAATTTAAGAATAACCTTACCTGAGATAAGGTAATTCTCGAACACACAACAAGCATGGGACACCCCGGACCGTTACATTATCAAATCGTACGCACAAGCACTGGGGTTTGACCTCTGTCTCGATTATGGGGCAGAACACGTAACGCAACGACAACCTTCTTTATTAGAATGGAATTAGGTTTGGTACATAGGTATTATCTACATGGTAGATGTCTACAAGTTTCACCCTCTTTTCTACTGTGCGCAGATACCTACTAACTATGGTGTTTATAATTTCGAACACAAGAAGAAGAGACGACCCATCTTCCTCAATACTGACATCAAGATTCAAGTTTCATCTTACCATTCTTTACATGTGTACGATTCCGAGCACCTACGTGCGGCATAGTAGCTACATACGTATCTGACCCAGCCGCCTACTACCTAGTGCTAAGTATATCTGATATATAGGTGTGTGCGCCTGTGCAATTATCTCATTGTCCTTCTCATCACCGGCGAGTGGCGGGTTGACGGTTTGTGCCGTAAAGCGTACCATGTATTATACACACCATAGTACATAAGATAGCAGATATATGTAATAATACCTACACGTAGTACACAACATGTAACCCTTGTATAACAACATTACATTCAATGTTGAACGACATATTCCTAGCTAATAGTCACTCTGCTCTGCTTAGTAAGGAGCTTAGCCGCGAGCAAGACGCAGCTCACCCAATAGAGATGCAAGTACGGTACGGCAGACCGAACGGGGAATAAACCGAATCTTTGCACTTATTGCCTACTACCTACATATGTAACCTAACTTGACCTAACCTACCTAGGCAGTTAGCTATATGTATGCGCATGCAGAGAGAGAGAGAGAGAGGCATGAATGAGTGAAAATTACTCGTAGGTTAAGGTATGTAAGCAAATAAGGTCTGATCCATGGTACTGTGTAAACTTTCCAACGTTGCTTGCTTGCTGCTGATGTTGCCGCTGCTTGGTTGTGCGCCGCAGAAATCCTAGAGCTGAGGAACTTTTTTCTCTTTTCTTATTTTCTGTTGGTGAGGCGTCGGCCCAATTGGAATCGGCAACTCATCCATTATGTACGTGTGTACATGGTAGGTTAGGGGATCAGCAGGGCTCAGCAGGGATTAGCTGGTAGTGACTTGGCAAGCAAGATATGTACCTAGTAGTATGTAATACTTTACTAAGTAACCACATACACATAATAGGTAAACTGTCGAGTCTGAGTTCGGGATTTGTTAAATTTTAAACATCCAATATTGATCTTGCAAACTTTACACTACATACGTACATGGATGTCGCATCGGGCCCTACTTACATACATAATAGATTGTAAGGCAAGAATAAACGATAAACGATAAATGATAAACGATAAACGAACGGGATGCGTTACAGGGGGCTATCGTGTCTGACATGGCCCATAAAATGCGGATCTGTCATCCCTGTACATCAATACAAACAGACACCTTAGCTTCATGCAGTAGGTTGGGCCTACATGTACTAGGTACTACATAGTAGTACATGATACTACTAGGTACCTACTACAAGGTATGTAGGTAGTATGCATGTACCTTTGGTACTTCACATGCATACATACTTATTGCCAAACATTGAACGGTCCAAACCTCAACTCAACAACATTTGAACTACTAGAGCCATGCGCAGCACTGAGCATACCAAGTTGTCGGTGCCCAATACAGGAACATAATCACATAGCAGTAGAGACATGGGTAACATGAATAACGCGTAGATTTGATGCTATCATGATTATGGTATCACACAACGACTTTAACTCATTCTCTCTACCCGACGCCCCGTCATTTCCCTTGCATGTCTGGCCCATGATAGCTTCATATATGTGTGTGTCGCCGCTGGAATATTTACATGAAAAAAGCCCAGCATTGCGAATATTTGCTAATGCCCGCACTTTCACCGTCCCCGTAACAAGTCACCCGTAACTCCAAGCCACCAGGGAATGCGTGATAGTAGGAAATAAGAATAGCTAGTGAATAAGCATGATAACAAGACCGCCTACCAGCATAGCGTGGTATTTTTTTTTTCAACGCCCGAATAATGCTTTGTTGATACTCCATGAGAACCTGTTTATTCCTTAGATGTAGAATTTGCGATTTAGAGATTGGATTGCTCGAGTATCCTCCGTGACTGTTGGTACGTTTGCTGCTCCTGTCGAGAGCGCTCTCGGTGAGCTCCCTGCACTGTTATTGCTTCCAGGATTCGCGCTACTTGGCTCCGAGTTTGCCGGGGTCCTATTCAGTAGGGCAGACAAGCTGGCCTTATTCGCATTGCCATTAGCCACTTCTGGACCCATCGTTCTAGGCGGTGATGTAGAAGAATTCCTCGGAGGTGTTAATCCTCGAGACGCCGATGGCATCGTAGGAAGCGGGCCTTGAGGGTTGCGTGCGCTCGTCGCAGAGAGCCGGGGATCTATAACCGCCTGGACAGCCTGTGCGGCCTGTGCAGCTTGTGCAGCCTGCGCAGCCTGTAATTGAAGCTGTTGCGACTGTGGGGATAGGCTCGGAGGACGGCTAGGAGTACGACTGGCCATCGGAAATGTCCTATTTAGAGTAGGCGGGGGTAGGCGATCGTTCTCGTAGCCATTGAGGGCCTTGGGATAAATAGGGGGAGCTTGGGCTGAAGTCGTCGGGAGGGGTGGAAGTTGCGGAGGTCTTTGAGAATGGTGTGGCGGTTGTGGCCGAGCCTGAGGTTGGATTTCTGGCGTAAGTTTGCCCTGTGTCCATGGGGGAGTATGGTTAGGCGATGGCGGCCACGGGCCTTGCCACGTTGGTCCCCAAGAGGTCATATAATTATTGTAGCCCTGTTGTTCAAGCTGTGGTGGTGCAAGGCCATGATATGGCTGCATGGGAGTTCGCGTGAGAGCAGGCGCATTGCTGTCGTGTAGACTTGACTCCGGATACATGCCCTTAGCAGGGATAATTTGTCGGAGTTGAGGATCAAGGCTTGGTTGTGGGAGATCAGGAGCGCCGGTATGTGGCCTAGAATAGTACGAGATCAAGTGAAGGTGTTGGCCTTGCGATGTCGTAATACTGAAAGATTGCTTCATGAGGCCATCTGCTTTATATGTGTAGCCTTCGGGCTGGCCGCCATCCGGGTCATCATCACTATGTCGACCGCTGTCTGGTGTCCTGCCGTTGCTTCGTCTTGCAGTGCCGAATGTGGTTCCGCGCTTGCCCTCCATCTCTCTGTAGGTGAGAAAGCTGCCCGAGACTCTGCTTGCGCTCCAGGATTTTCCGTCAGTCCATCTACGCATACCAGCCTCTCTCTCATCCCATACAAAAACTGATCCGGATCTTATGGCCTGTCGTTCCTTCTCTGATAATCGTCGCTGGACTCGGGGTAATAATCCCAATCTACAAGCTTCGAAGAGCTTGATGGCATCTGCGGGTGTCCGCACATAACCGTGATAAGTCTCCATCTTGCGTCTATGTGGTTATTGGCGGAGGAAGACGATGTTCAAGGTAATGGGTGGTATGTAGTGAGTGTAGTAAGTTCGAAATCAAGATGCGAAGGTTTAATGGTGCTCGCTAGTAATAATAATAACTTGCGAGATAGTCAAGTCTTGTAATCCCAACACATCCACCACATCAGCTCCACATAACAGCTTCAAATGTGGGTCATTCAGACCGTGGTCGAAATGGAGAAGCTTGCGTAGTGAAAATCGACGCTGGAGGAGACCCTTGGTAGATCCTGGTCTCGATAGCTGAAGGAAGACGAATGCGCGTGTTGTGCTTGGCGTTTCTGAATTGCGGGCAGCGCCAGTCGATAGTCGAGCCCCTAATGCTATTAATGGTCCAGGCGGTACGGAACTGGAACCGAGGTAACTAGGTCCTTGGATCCTTTGCTAAATTTTATTGTTAGCTCTTTTAACTGATCGAATACTTGATACTCGCAGCACACGACACAAAAAAGGCCTTCTCTATGCTAACACCGAGCGGCGCATGCATTTTAAAAACGGTCCGCAAGGCGTGCAGGGTACGTATAAAATAAAATAGCATAAAATAAAGTGCGGTATTTAGAAACAGGATCGGCTGTCTGGAGGACGTATTCGGAATAACATATTAACAGCCACTCGGTTCACAAAAGGCCTTGATGCAGACCTTTGGGTCTAAATTTGACATGACCATAGGGTTACATATCAAACATCTCAATTTCCCACTTGGGCTGTTCTGGGGAAGAGGTTGTCGGCTTTATGCAAATACCTAGATGATAGACCAATTTTGTAATGACCATCATGATCGTTATCATTCATCCACGTACTTACTGCACCGCACCGCTCGCGCAGAACTTGACCAACGATAATAAGGGAGGGGGAAGAGAGGAAGGGGGTTCAAAAATTGCAGAGTTAAATATGAGGTTATTGGAATAATATGCATACCTGCATTCAATAAAAAGTTAGCGACTAGCTGAGTGCTGATTTTCAATATCAGAAAATGAGAGCAGTGCTTGGGTGTCTTATTTCATAGGGTATCCAAGGTACATATGTATGAACCTCGGCCCGTATAAGACGACTTTAAGTAAGACAAGCCAACGGCCTAGGAAGGAGATAGTGTAGACGGTGAAGAAGGGCGGCATGCCTTAAAAACGTTGAAGGCGTGTTGCCAGTAAGCTTTAACTGGGGGGGGGGAATAAGATTAAATAATAAATAATAAATGTCCAACAAAGCAACAAGATCCCGAGGACACCCTTTTGGGTTGCAGTAGAAGGTGAAGATGGATGTGGTGATAATGGTAAAATGTAGTAGTATTACCCTTTAGGCTTACTGGCAATAGGTATTCCCCGATTGACTCGAGGCTTGTAGAAAGAAGAAAGTCTACTTGATAGACGACGATGATGAAGGTTGGGATATAGGTTGCGGCTCTTGTAATTGAATGCGCTGGAGGAAGGGGGGGGGGATGGTACATGATGTATGATATGTACCCTAGGTATGATATGTACAATAAAGAATGCGTGTGATGTTCTAGAATTCGAAGGATTCGACTAGAGGAATAAGAAACTTGGACCCAAAGCTTACCTTTTTGAGTTTGAAGAGTTGGTTTCGTGACAGTAAGGTTGAAAGGTTGATGGACCGGTTACCAATTAACAAGTAGTAAGTAATTGTCTGGCCGTGATGGCGTTATCAAAGCCTCCCTCGCTCGGGAGGGGGGAGGTGACTAGAGGACAATTAAGCTTGGTTGGACACGTGTGGTATTTGGAAACTTTGGAAACTTTGGAACTAGTTAGATAGCTCCAATTTCCAAGATATTTTCGGAGCGATGAATTTTAGATCATCTAATAATCGAATCGATCTTCCTCTTTTTTTCTTGTCCCTTATCGAATCACACCTCTCTTTTACTCTTGGCTCTTTAGTCCCTCTCTCTCTCTCTCTGTCTGTCTAGGCTTCAGATTTCCGGGTTTGCCACTCCTCGTGCTTGATGTTTTCGTCAAGGTGCTTGCCGAAAAGACACACTGCAATGGGGATTTGCTGATAATGCCGACCTGGTATTATCCCACGCTTGCGGCTGCAGGAAGATATTCAGCCTTCGGGTTGGATCGAGGAACAACCGGTAGTGGCAAGATATGAAACAAGAACAGATTAATTAATTCGAGGTGAGTTGGCGACTAATCAATATCGGGTAGATATATGTATTGGAAAGACGGAGAGGATTGTAACCTGTAGAGGGTTGCGGGTTGCGGGTTGTAGGTTGTGAGTTATGAGTTTGTGGGTTGAGGGTTAAGTTGAGTGAGTGAGTGTACTAGGTTCAAATGTGCAAATGTTCAAATGCTAGGTAGATGATAGCTGGAGGTAGGTATGTAGGTATGAACATTGAAGAAATTGGTAGGGAGAACTAAAGGTATTAAATTATGACGAGATGATGGAATTTCGAGGCAAGGGAAGTGCGGGAAGGAGAGCAGAAAACGGATATTGCGATAATAAGAAACAGTAATTAAGTTTCCTAAACGACTCAAGCTTATTACCTTATTTTGCAACGCTCTTTCCCACCCATTTATTTATCTTATTAATTGCTCTAGGTTAGGTACATAGTGCTGAAGGTAATAAATTTTTCTTTTCTTCTTTTTTCTTACTAGTAGTAGGGTACATAGTAACTACAAAGTACTTGACTACCTCTAGTGAGGGCAAGGTCAACGGTTACACCTGATGGTCCAAGCACCTCTCATCTGGGATTCTGGGTCGGGTACTTTGTACTAGGTACCCACTCGCATGGAAGCATGGATCTCAATGTTAGCGCCCGCCGCCAAGAAACTCCTGCTAGGCAGTAAATAGTGTCAATAAGTACAATGTATCCTAGGTACCGTACTTGATATCCGACTTCTAACTATACGTTAACGTGCCTATATGCATACATACACTTACATCAATGATATGTATATACCATGTAGTATGTGCCTATACCTATGTACATACATAATAACCCCGTTGACATTTGTACAAACAAGCATTAATATTATTATGATCAACTTGACTGAGGTTCAAACATCTTCGAGAACTTTTCGAATCAGAAATGTAGGCAGGGTAGGTAATCCTGTTCATTTTTAGGTCAACCGACGGCATACCTTTAGGTGTTCTTTTAAACTACTTCCACTACGGAGCTTAGGGTACCGCATTGGGGTAATGCGATAATGTATGTACCAAGCATACATATATCATACATACACACATAATGGAGGATACACTCAGTTTTTGCGTAAGTTCGGCAAGCAAATTGAGTATCAGAACAGAATTGTGCAGCACTAGAACAAACACCAAACTCCTTGGCAACATTATGTATGGTTTTATCAAGTATACGTACATAACTAGTTAGCTATGTACAATACATAGTTAGATGCTTTATTCTATATTGCTACCTACACATGTAGATCGAGATATGCAGTTTGAACAGGTGGAGAGGGGGAAGGGGAGGAGAGGAGCAGCACGTGTAAATACGATGTCAACGTCAAGTGCTATCTACATAGTATGGATATAGGTAAGGTGATCGGCACAAAGATGATATTGGTTAGCTAAATAGTAGCTAAATAGTATGATGAGTAAGGCTATCAAAGCCTTGCCAATGCTATGATCACTTGGGCTATTACATTCTGGCCGAGTCCCACCATTGCTGGCACCACTACTGGGCACCACTGCTTGTACCAACCAACACTACCTAGCAAGCAATAGAACCCAGATATTCTGGACCGGCTAGTTCAAACAAAGCGTGTCTCGATTGTCGAGCTTCGGACCTAGACGCCCTCGAAAGGAGCCGTCTCTCTCGAACACTGAGACGCAGCACAGAAAGCCTTTGTGTCGCCGCAGTTTAATCACATCTTCTGTCTCACGTACAAATGCCTCTTTGGGGTGCTGTGTATCTTGATGTTGTCATTCTCGGACAGGAAACGACCGTTTTAGGGGGCTCCTTGCCTTTTTGGTCGTGCTCATAAGGATACAGCATTTCGTAGAACTTGAATGAAGGCCTTTACTCATGCTCGTCTCATCTGTCATTTTTGAGTAACGTAACGTCACCTCAAGAACTTCAGTCGCACAGCTGCTCTGCTATCATGGGGGAGCTGTAATGTGCGCGACACCTTGAGGCAAACCCATTATTTATGCGACTCATTTATACAAGCAAATTCTTTACCAACAACTTCTTAGACAGTGATACGCATGCTACTATATAGTGCTTGTTATATATATCCTCATTCTTAGGTATGTATATTTGTGTAATACAATATCCAATCCCCCTTTTTATTGTAATGACATATAACCTACATCTAAGAAATTCGATGCTATAACAGTGGTGTCCTTTTGTATACCTACACATGATGCCAGTGCCAACATTGAGATATTACCTGCATACTTGGCTACTATCGTTGAGCAGGCCGAAAATGGCCTGCCTATAAAAACCCAGAGTTTCTGCTGAACAGGCAAAGCACGGCGCAGTCGTATTATCTGTCTTTTATCAAGTTTTCACCCTAGTGCCGGCGGCAATATGGTCTGCGGGCGATCACAGGGCAGGCGGCACAGAAACTAGGTCAGTACTAGGTACCTATCACCCGTTGAAAAGGCGCCGACATGAGGCCATATGAGGCCCGAGGATCATTGCTCTCTTTTCACCTTGCACACGTTTCATTATACAATTGTTGTAATATACAATACCTACATACCTACATACCTACGTATCTAAGATGATGGAATTGCCGGCTCGCGCCTTTCTCTGGAACCACAATCTGAGTTTTCGAGTCAGAAACTCGGAGGATTCTTGGGATCATCAAACGACATCTGGAGGTGGCAGTGGACTAAGTATCCGCACAACCGTATTTGGTAAGCCGACAGTGACTGGGACCGTGGTACTGCATGTATAGGTATGAAGCAATCCTTCGAAGCCGCATCCGCTACTTAGCACATGACATTAACCATGCATAAATTATCCTGCTCATAAGCATAATATTCTTTGCCAAAGGATGAAAGCTTATTTCTCATCCATCTTATCCATCTTATCCATCTTGCGATGTAGTACTTGCTGTTTATTGCATTAAGGGAAACTTGCATGAGGGGACTTGATGCAATTGTCGGTGAGTCAGCCGCTGGTGTCATCACGCAAGCACAAGCGAGCACCCATGGGAGCAAACAACATTGAACATTGAACATTGAATTTGTATAGTACATATAAAGTAGTATGTAATTATACGATGACTCGGTATATAGCGATTATGATGACCAACATGTACCTACGTAGTACTTATTAGTCAAGAACCACTTTGAAGTGTCAAGACTCAAGTATGGCATATGCACGTACGGAGTACAACTTTGGAATACATACATAAATACATAGTTAGCAGTTAGTTACATGGTACTTACTTTTAGTGTTGGTTAGGTTAGTTAGGGCTATGTATGAGTTACGGGGTGGGCTACGGGCTTGGCAGCTTGGCGACCACGAGGGATCTTGCCCCCAGACCCTCCACCCTCCCTAATGGCCTGGCCCGTTCATTTTAAGCATGAATTTAAACGTGGCCGCCAGCGCCTGTACTAATGTGATTAGTAACAAATCATTATTCTTAGTGCTTACCCCCCTAAACCCACCACAGTGGATGGGATCCTCATCTTTGTAAGAAAGCCTACTAATTCAGTACATAGTAGTACATACATGATACCATACAGGTCCATACTATGTATATACTTACATATGTAGCACTAATAAGTGAACAGCAATGCTCAAGAGATCAGCTTTGAATTTCTTTGTATGCGAATGAAGGCCTTCTGAAGGAAGAAGGAAGGATTCAAGATGTAAGTGCTAAGCAAGACTTCTTTTTTATCTTCTTTCTTCTCCTTTACTTATCAGTATTGGTTATCAGTATTATATGTATGATAGAATATGCTGACGCGAGGCAGATGATAACTAGAAACGGTACAGGCAACACACACTTCCCATACCCACGTAAGGAATAATGGGGTTGTGCAAATACCTGATTGACGCTTGAATGCTACCCAATAACTACACCTTTCTTCCATGGACAGACATACTGGCCCATATCAAGCGCGAAGATTGCGGGCGTTGCACAAACATCTGACCTTGAAGGGTAACAATCCTTCGGCACATCAACCTGTCCAACCCACACGCCCCAGGTCTAGAATACGGTTTCACAAGCCATCAACATATGCAGTATCTGCCACACACGCCCGAGGCCCTCGACGCCAGCTCCTCCGTAATTTTGGAGAACGCCTCCTATGGCACTACAACACTGGCCGTAGTGGCAAAAGTGTCGTTTTCTCAACTTACTCCAGCCCATACCTGTATGCAGCTTGTGCCATTGGCTTGAAGCTGAACTGCATATGCCGAGTTGTCGCTTGCATACTTCGACAATGGCTACTAGGATTCATTACATCCAACGTCGACTTCCGCGGAGTTAGATATGTACTTGAAGTACACGACTACGTGCTAGCAGGCTAGCTCTCTCTCTCGGCTGAAACGTGAAAAGGGCGACAACGCTTCGATCGGCCGAAAGAGACGGAGCCACGGCTCTGGGCCCGTCTTCGTTCGATAAACATTCCGCTAACACTTACGCAAGTCCCAACATAGGTAGGCATGTACTGTAGGCAGGTAGGGCCTGGTAGACATGCATAATCATTCCGGCCCCAGGCCCATGACAGCGGAACCCAATAGCGTGGCCTCGCTTGTTGGAAAGGGAGCTGAAAGCTCACCCACCTACCCACCCACACTCGCTCTGTCTCCCTCATTTTTCTCTTAACCCCTCAGCGGCCTCGAAGGAGTCATATTACGCGAAGCATATAGGTATGTATGTACTTGTGCTGGATACGCCGCCGCCTGCATCTGATCGCTGTAGAAGCTTTACTGTTTCCTGTTCAGCCATGTAAGACTATAGCCGCCACGTCGTTGTGGCGTCGTGCCAAGTGGTTTTCGATAGGATAGCGTAACCTGCTACAGCTGCTACTGGGCCGACTGGCGTGGGGGGTAGGTATGTAGTTGGTCACAGTGTCTTGGATGTGCAAGTGAGGCTGGTACCGCTAGGTAGGGACATCAGTATGGATGTACTTGTACGAAACGCCCAACCCCGCTTCTCACTATGCTCGTCGGAGCTCAAAACACCATTTGGCGAAAAGGCAGCGGAATGATACTGCCTCCTTGTCGTGCTTGATGGGTGGCTTGTGACATTCACGGTCTAGTAACTAACAGATAACCTTGGAACGATGTATTCCCAGATATTATATCCCGGCAATAGTAATCTACAAGTTGGCTATGTAGATGCCTAACTTGCACGATATGACTTATACCTAGGTAGGTATCACAACTTTACCCGTATTTTTTTCGTTGACGATCTCTAATCATGTGAGTACCGATAAAGCCACCAGCTGACGATAGGGCAAGACCTAACGCCATCATTCCACAAGTCTAAAACCCGAGCCAGGACGCTAGTAAGCTGACTACTAATGCCACTGGCTAACATGGTCACATAGTTCAAATGCGGTAGGTTGCTAATTAGCCCTAATGAAGTTACTATAAGAGTCGTTATACGAGTAAGAGCCTAAGAGGGAGGAGGAGGGGGGGACCAGTCGCTTATTACTAACGACCTAACAGAGATGCGAAATTCATCCACGCGACGTGATATTTCTCGATCGGATAAGTTGCCTAAAGTAGAACTCGTAAAACCAAACCAAGCCTCCTCCTCTCCGCCGGCTGTATATAGATAGGTATGTTAGTAATGTACGTACAGCATATGACTTGGCAACTTGAGTCAGATCAGGTGGATCTACATGACCTAGGACCGACCCAAGGGAAAGGTACTGCCTAGAAAACGACCAGGAACCTATGTGATATCAAACATGCCTAGGTTAAGTACATAATGTCATAATTAGGTACTTGCCCAGATAGGTACAATATCTATTATGTTAGGTAAGGTGGCTTATTACACGGGAATAATAAAAATGATCAAACATATGGATGCGTCGGGAAAGGAAAAAGGATTTTAGGTACCCTCCCTACCCTGCCCAGTGCCCACCCCCCTCAAGGGAAAATAGGTTGGGAAAACAAAAATAAGGTAGGGTCAAGGATGGGGTATGAAGAGATCGGAGGTTTCTTTTGGCTTTTAAGCTTCGTCCGACTGCAATATATCTTGCTTGCTGTTGCTGCAGGTTGGTCGGTTTAGTGTAACCACCACGCTGGCATGCCTGGCATGCTGGGCACGCTTGCTAGCTAGGGGGGGGGGAAGAGGGGGGAAAGGGGGGTCAGTTAATCTATTATTTCTCTTTGCGATGGCGCTTGGGGCGTGATAAGAAAGCTTGATATATTAACAAATTTTCTATATACCGATATCTGTGCTACGTGCTGGTAGACAGTGGTAGTACTATGTAGTAAGACGTATGTTACGCGATAAAGACACCGGAAATGTGAGTGGTCGTAGCTGAGCGAGGGACTAATCATCATATTGCCGGTTCCTTCGTTACAATATGGCTTTCTTTTCCTTTCTTTTTTCCTGGTCGCGCGAGATTATTCAATAATTATTAAGGCTCGCCAGCTGAGTCTCGTGGCGTTGTTCGTGGGACCTGTCATTTTCATATAGGCTTGGAGTTTTCTCGGCAACATAGCGACGTGTACCTACATAGAATTTGCATTCCAAGTTGCCGACGCTGCGATCTAATTCACCCAGCACATTTTAATCCACATGCGCGCAAATGTGAGAATTGAATCCATGGGCAGCTACGAAGTAAACATGATACTTAGTGCCTAAAGCGCATTCGCTTCATCACGCACATTCTGGTCCCAACCATCGATAGAATAGGGAAAGGTAGAAGAAGCAATGAGTAAGACGCAAATAGATACCTAGGGTTACCTGAGCGTGTAATCCTCCTATACCTGCGGACGTATGTAAGCGAAGACTGGAGAAAAACGGAAGCGTCCAATACAATACCTATAGTATTACCAGGTACCCTTTCTCATTACTTGCATATTAATACTCACGTGTAACAAAGCTTCGCCAGTTGATACCTAACCTGGTCCTCCAGCACTCTCCCAGGTATTGGGGAAATTTTGGGAACCCAAGTCCCCGGGATCTGAGAAGCTCGTTGGGAACGGGTCAAGGTCAAGCCAGCTAGCTACTACAGGTACCAGGGGGGGTCCTAAAGGAACAGCAACCTAGAAGGTTTTGATTCAGCTTCATTCGTGATACATAGGAAGCTTATCACACATCATTTTTATGTACAAAGGTCCCTACAAACAATGCCACATCCCTGGAAACATAGGTCCTTCCACGGGCTTTGATGTAGCAGATTCCAATCAACGTGAGTCAGCACGTCGTATAGTGTAATGATGTCGATTCGCAATGGGATATTGCATCTTTGACAATTCCCAAAGTATTACATGCGCGGTTCGAGATAGGATATGCAAGCGCTGGCTGGTATTACTAAAAAAAAAATCGTCCCAGCGGTGAATGATCATCGTAAATCTAAGCAATCAGTTCTAGCTAGGGCTCGGGCTCCGGGGGCTAATAATTACAATAAAGATAACCTGGAATACAATACCGAGGGAACATTAAACACATCAATACCTAATCCATCGTACCAAGGATGGAGAATTTACGGATAGCACAATACCTAATCTGCTAATGCTGTTTCCACCCGACCGGGGAATTCATTATTCAGAGCAAGGGTAATTAAGAGTGAAGCCTAGGCTTGCTTGCGTCAAGGTGTTAATAGTTAGGACGTTTGGTTTAACTGATGTTTGCAACTTGGACCGAACGTCTCTTCTCTCTCCAATCGTTCGGGCATTACACAAAGCGGCATATCTACATATGTCGTACTTACATAGTATATAGGCATGTAAGTATTGGTATTGGTATGACATATGTATGTATGTAAGTACGGAGTTAATAACTAAGGTGAATATCTACAGTACTAGGTTATGTAGGTAGATAGGTATGCATGCATAGTTACCTACCTACTGGCTTATGTACATACATAATTACATCCATGGATATTACATGTCAGATTCTTGTCTTTGTCTCGTCTCGCCGGTCCGGGTTTAAAGCCCTGTCAGAACGGAGACTAATCTACATAGAGAGTAACGATGTAGATCCCGAGCCCCTCTGAGCTTTATTTTTGCGTCTTGGTAGCGACGCTGATTCGCACCCCACACCGATAGTTCATAATCTTATTCAGACGCCGCTTCACGACTCTGCGGCTTGTTCCAACAGCTAGACTGTATGTA